CAAAATTAAGTACCGATGCAGCGGATAATAGTACGGTTTGGTTAGTGCTGCCTGTAATTTACTACCAGAGAGCATTACTACAAGCGTGGACTAATTAGCTAAGACATAATAAAAATGGATTGTTTACAAGATATAAATGGCGGAAGAAAGCTTAGCCTACCATGAGTGGTGGTGTCGGCGGAGGCGTGAATATCTGCTGGCTGATGACACTCGGTGCAGGTACAGCTGAAGAAAATTGGTATTGAGACAAGTGGCTAGGATGTTGCTGTTGACCATGGTGGTGCTGGTGTGAATGCTGATGCGGATGATGAGGCATAGGTAGTTGAGGTGGCCCAGAAATTAAAGCTGGCTGTGAGATCATCTGCGGTCTTGACATACTAGGTTGCATAGAGGGATCTGTGAGATGTCCTAGCTGAGCCGAGGAGTGAGATTGCTGTTGCTGTTGTGGGTGATTATGATGATGATGATGGTGATGGGAATGGTGATGGTGTTGTTGCAATTGTTGTTGTTGAGGTGGATGGCCATGCGAATGAGTTTGGCTCTCCCCACTAGGCCCTGGTCCGAATCCTGTTATCCCTCCACTCGGCAATGGTCCCTGTGAGAAGAGATCCCCCGGGCCAGAAGAAACAGTAGATACTGAAGATGGCCCATTAATCAGGGGGCCAAGGTTGTTATGGGTGGAGGCGGATAAAAGAGAGGGACAAGAAGAAGATGATGAAGAATTAGAGTCAAGGCCTTGTGCTGACTGAGGGGACGATTGAAGGAAGCCTCCTGGGGGACAGGGTCCAGGATAGCTGGTCAAAAGAGGCTTCCCAGAAGGACCTGGGTTCGTGGAATGCATGAGCTGGGGTTGGGATGATGATGGAGGTAGAGCAGCAATAGGCGAGGAAGTTGAGACTCCTGCATAACTGGAAGATTGGAAATTTGGACTACCGCCAGAAGGCATGGGTTTTCCCGTATATATTCCTGATTGCCCATTGCCTGGAGTAGCCGAGGGAGGTTGCAAGGTTGGAGCAAGCCTTAGCCCCAACTTACCAAGCTGACTAGGAGGACCGGATGCAATGAGTCCAGGGGGGGGAGCGCCACCTGAAGTATAGTAAACAGGAGAATGGCTTGATTGCATGGGGCCACTTGGAGTGACGGCCGCAGTCGAAGTAGATGTCGAAGACAGTGGCGCCACCATTGACTGACCGCTGGGCATTAGTCGAGGTTGGGCCGGGCCCGATACATGAGCGTATTGGGCTGGCTGGGGTCCGGAGAGATATAGTGAAGAACCAGAACGTGGAAGTATGGCCGGATTGCCAGAATAGTAGCCAGTGGAAAGGCCAGCTGATGGAGTGGGTGGTGGCTTTGAGTAGGCCTCTGATGTTGGTTGAAACGGAGCGAGCATGGGGGAAGTTGGAGGGGGCAGAGTCTGCGGAGAATGCGGATCAGGCCAGCACTTTTGACCACCGTAGTCTATTACAAGGGATGCAGATAAAACACAAGAGATCTCGAGGTATGGAGAATACATCTCACAAATTGATAAAAATTGTGGCATAAAAATGGTGCAAGGGCAGATGCATTTCTTCACAAATTTGGCAATATAAAATGTTTATCGATATAGAAAAAGAGTTATATAGAGGAATTCGCATAGCTATGGACAATTAAGGATGAAGATAATGTTTTACAGTATTCTTCTATGGAGCTAAAAGGCCCACTTTTTATGATAGCTCGAGAATCCAAAAGAGCTTCGTGACATTTAAAAATGTATTTAATAAATAAATTGAGCCCTAAT